TAATCCACTCGGTTTGATGCTATGCTCTTGGCACCACCTAGCTTGACAGGCTTGGGGGGGGGGGGGGGGGGCGCACACATGGGGTTGGCCGATTGAATGGCAGAGGCCCGATTGAAAATCTTTGGCCAAACTGTGACTGTAGCCTGTCAGATGCAGTCTCTGTTGGGTACTTTTAAACAGCCACGGGTGTCAGCGGTGGTGTGTACAATATCTGGCAGGGGGGATATTTTCATCAATGCAGTTTAGATTAGACATCTGTGTATATTGCTAGCCTTATTAATATCTCAGAGCAAAACGTGCTTCACTTTAGTGCAGGGGTCTCCAAACAATGGGCCAGTTTACTGTGCTGCAGTGTGTAAACCATGCCTCAGACTTGATGGTCATTGAGGTAAAACATTACATAGCACCTGTTGTCAGTAGGTCCAGGACTAGTGCCCCATCGTTGGTCACTGGGAAGAATTTTGTCCCTTTTTGGTGTCATTTGGAGGAATAGTGCCGCATACTTTGTGTCGGTGGGAAGAATAGTATTCCAAGGGCTGAATATATGCAAGCAAAGGGTTGCATCTGGCCCAGGAGCTACATTTGGAGACCTCTGACTTGGTAATAACCACTTTCACTTTCACCCCCTTCGTGCCCAGGCCAATTTTCAGCTTTCAGTGCTGTCGCACATTGAGTGACAATTGCACAGTCATGCAACCCTGTGTGTGTGTGTGTGTGTGTGTGTGTGTGTGTGTGTGTTTAAAAATTTTTTTTTTTTTTGCGTTAGCAGCACTGCTCTGTTCTAGGACAATTGCTGGTTATTGGCAGTAATTTCCTCACACTCTGACAGCAACTGTATTTACTCCGTGATCTGTTGTGTCATTGGACACAGCTGATCATGTGGTGAAAGGTCGCTGTGATTGGCCTTTTACCTCATCACGTGATCAGCTGTGTCCATAGGACACAGTGATCAGATTGCTGGGTGCGTGGGAGGGCGCATCTGGCTGGACATCGTATGAGATCCCAGAACTGGACAACCATGCTGTAGCTGTCATTCGGCTATAGCGCGGTTGACATGAGGTTAGTAGGTTTAGCAAAGTATACTTGAGCTAATGGGGTAGACTTGCAAAATCTGGTGCAGCTGTGCATGATAGCCAATCCGCTTCTAACTTCAAACTGTTCAATTAAGCTTTGACAAAACCTGGAAGCGGATTAGTTTCTATGCAGAGCTGCTCTCATAAAGGACTTGATGTATGTTTTAGAGAAACATGGCAGTACAAGTAAGCTGCAGTGTTTACATCTCATACACAAGATACTTTCCTTCTTATTCGTGTTCAGCCAAGAGTTTGACTTGGCTGAACTCGTTCTGCTTGGTAGGCAAGATATGTAAATAGTTACATGTGTATTTCTGAATCTAGAGTTTGTTGACATTGCATTACCTTGGCTGTGCCAACCTTGGTTATACAGCTTGTAGAGCCGGGCCGTGGTCCAGTATGGGTCATGACGAACAGTGCTCTTAAAGAAACATGTGTAAAGTTGAGGCTACCATAGCTGAACTTGTTGGTATAGAGCCCTGTTCTGCTGTGACAATCCTCAAATTGACCTATTTTATGGCCTTTTTAAACCTCTCTAGAGTTCAATAATGGGTGTAGAAATTACAAAAACATAATTTGAATGTGGAAGAATTGATCCTGTTAGCAGGGATTTCAGTTCATAAATTTTTTCTTAATTATGGGGAAATTGTCAAACTGGCTGCATCCAGTCGAATGCTGCCACTGTTCAGTAATTTTGACAGCCTGCTGGCCATGCCGTCACAATATAGTAGGCAGATTGGGAGGTGTGTGTTCTTTTTTAGGCCTGGCTCCCACCTATGCATGTTGCAATTCGCTGCCAGTGTCCCTGACCCTATTCAAAAACAGTGGCTAAAAAGGAATAGATGTGACGTGTCCCATAGGACACCATGTTAAATGGGCTGTAGTAAGTTTCTGCAAAGCACTGAAATGCATACGTGTGAACCAGGCCTTACAGGGTGCTATCTTTTTCGTGACCATAATTTTGACTGGGTTGCTTTAAACTTTGTTGTCTGCTCCATCTCTAGACATTTCATGCTATTATGTTCAATTCAGTGTTGTGTTCTGCACTATAGACCTTGGCCAGCATTTATGCTTTAGTTCAGTGTTTCCTAATGTGTTCCATTGTTACTGGTCTCAACACTAGGCAGGACAAAGGAGCCTAACTTGTATCTGTACACAACTGTCTTGTGGATTGCATGGGTATACAGTCAGTTTGGGCAAACCACAGGGAACAAGGTGAGACCGTTTGCATAGATATGTGAAAAAAAAACTATACAAATCTGTGCTGGTTCAAATCAGAAGCTGCCAACACTGAATGCTGACACAAAGAATTTTCAAAACCTCTGTAGTGCTAAAAATTAAAATTGTAATAATTAAATTTTTGCTGTTTTTTAGTGCTACTTTTTTTTTTTTTTTAAATGTATGTTTGCATAGATATGAATGTCTTCCATTGGAGAAGAGAACCTGAATGGGACAAGTGGAAATGTTCTAGTCCAGGATACTAGGCATGTCTTGGGCCCCTTTTCATGCAGAATGTCTGATTTGGTTCTGCCTGGCCGTATTTTGTTTGGTCTTTTCCAGGTGGACTCTCAGACCCTCCTTCTGCTCTATGGTGTGGTGGATGTAAATGGACCTGTCCATTTACACTCGTTACCTGCAATCCAATCCACCAAAAAACTGAGTGGGATCCTTTCCCCTTTTTGTGGGCAGATTGGAGGGCAGTCTAGTGTAAATAGACAGTCAGTCTACATCTGGCTGCCCATTGAGCAGGCTGCTCTGCATAAGTGGAGCAGATATGAACTGGTCACCTGAATGTTTTTAATAAAAATGGGAATTGTGACAGTTTTTGACCATTGTTTTATTATAAAAGCAAATATCCCTAAATTAAATATTCTGGTATGAATTTCATAATAAAATGCGACAGTTTTGAAAGGCATGCTGTCTTTGTAAATTCAGAAACCCCATCAAGGGGAGCATGTTGTGCTGTTTTGGTGTCAGGCTCACATGAGTCTACAAAAGGCTGATGCAATGTGTCTCTGCAAAGTAACCTGAAACTGACACAAGCCTTCTCACCCCCCCCCACCCCCCCCCCCCCCCCCCCCCCCCCCCCCCCCCCCCCCCCATGTCCTAGATAATGTATTCTAAGTATAGCATTTGTGTGCATTTTTTACTTTTTTTTTTTTTTCCATTTACAATGTGCTGCAGGGGGGGTAAGATCTGCAGTGTTGCAAAACTTTCCGTGTAGTACCCTTGGGCCTTGCACCTATATGGGGGAATTCAATAAAGCTGCTGCACCACTTTTCTGGAATTAATAACTCTTAATGATGTATTGGATCATATTCATGAAGCATTTTGTCATTTTTGGTTCTGAAAGCAAATCGTGCACCAAATTCAGTTCCAAAATGCTCCACTTTTTACAGTGCAGTGAATGTGCCAAATTTTAAATGTTTAACATTTTGTATCTTGCTAATGTAGACCAACTCCCTTTTTGCCCTATAGAGGGAAACTGTCAGACAGATTTTTAAGTGTCTTGCATGCATTAAAAAATTGGCGTAGAATGTGCCCAATTCAAGTACAAGTTCTAGATGTTATAAGCAGTGTAACATGCAACAAATTCTTGTAAGTCATGAGACACTTGGAAAATCTGTTCTTGCCAGTCTTTATGAATTCCATGGGTAGTGTCTTTAACACTCCAGCAGCTGTCTGTTACCAGTTTGTGGTAGAGGGAGTGTGGTGTGCAATTCGGCACATCCCAAGGGTTTTTTTTTTTTTTTTTTTTTTTTTTTTTTTTTTTGTTCCAAATTTGTATATGAAGAGTACAACATGTTCACATCATTCATGGCAATGTACAGCAGATGTTTTACAATGAAATAAAATGTCTGTCACTGCACACTGAATTAGCTCTACAGCTGCTTGCATTGCGCCTGAGCTCCACATCCTGTCAGATCAGCGGCGGGTGTGGATTCTCACAGGTGAGTGAGCTCTACTGTAAACAACCCATGCAAGGGATCTAGGATGCATGCTCCTTATGGGAATCTAATGTCTGGTTTGAGATGGAGCTGAGGCAATGATGTTTAACCCCCTGCACCCCCAACACAGTCTGGAAAATTTGTCTTCCGTGACTGATGCCAAAAAGGTAGGGGACAGTTACCCGAACACATCCCCCTCTTTCCACATCCCCTTCCACACTTTCTTATGTAGCTGACAGAGAATGAGTAAAGAATACTTTGAGGGAACAGCTGGGACTGACATCACATCTAAGATGGTGGTGCCCAGCCGAGGGGCTTTTGGTTGTGTACACAAGGGAGGCTTTTATGGGTACATTCATAAAATTTTATAAATGTGTGGGGTGTTGTTGTGTTCCCCCCCCCCCCCCCCCGGCTAAATGGTCTGAAAAGTGGGTCTCTTGAAGGCCTTTAAGTGAAGGTTAACGGGAGGCAATTGGCTTGTATAGCCCGGGTGTTTGTGTGTGTGTGTGTTTTTTTTTTTTTTTTTTAAGAAGGGTTTAACCCTGGTCAAATGTTTGTGTCCCAGAGATGCAGCAAGAAAGGAGTCTTGGTGGTTTTGTAAATGTTTGTTTGCTTTCTTGGGCTAAATAGTGTATGTAGGTGTAGATCTATCTAGCAGGTTGCTCCTTTTACTATTTCTCCCTTGAATACTGTATGTAATCTATCTCTATTATCAGTTTCAAAATGTTTAAACTTTGCAAAGCCAGTGATTACATGGGTGGTGACTAGTTGGTCTATGAATACCTAGACTGTACATATAGCCAATATGGTAATTTAACAAGCAGTGATTCCTGTATACTGCTTATAAAATGTTAACTTCTGCAAAGAACATGTATTGATTTACCCTTATGTCTTTCAGGATTGAGACATGGAACCTAAGCCATCAAGATTGCCCCGACGGATAACAGTCCAGCCTTCCCATTCCTCACCCTTAACAGCCAGGATGTTTAGAACCAACAGGTTAGGAGGTCAAAGCGACACCTATCGCACAAGTGATAGCACTTTGAGACATGACTCAGACTTTCAGGTGAGAATATGTAAGCTTTTAACCTTTGCACAGCCATGTTTAAACAGACACTGAAAAGTTTATGAGCTGTGGTTAAAACGCATGGACTGCAGGCACTTGGATGGATTGTGAATAATGATTTAGAATATAGAGTGGGTTGGTCATGCTGGCTTCACTTTTTTTTTTTTTTTTTTCTCTCTCCCCCCCCCCCCCCCCCCCCCCCCCCAGCTTTGTCTACCCTTAGACCTAGGGTAGTGCTAACTTTGACATGTTGTTAGTTGATCTAGTATCCTGCGAGCCATCATTTTGACCACAAGACTTCTGGGGGTGTGTGCAAGATGTTCTCAAGCGCTACATACAGTGGTGAAATGTAGTATCAAACAGATGCACTAGTGCACATGCAGATATGAACCTGGGGGGGGGGGGGGGGGGGATGGCCTATGCCAGTGGTAGGCAACCTGCTGCTCTCCACCTGTTGCAGGACTACAAGTTCCATCATGCCACTGCAAGTCATAGCTGCAACTGTCAGTTTTGTAATGTTGCAATGCCTCATGGGAAATGTAGTTCCACAACAGCTAGAGAGCCGCAGGTTGCCTACCCCTGGCCTATGCTGAAAAGCTACTAAATCAATCCTCATCAGTTGCTGTACTGATGAGGATTGATTTCTTCGGAACATGCAGTATTGTGTTAGGATAATGACCACTACTTGGTTTCTCTCAGTAAACTTGGTTTAGTCAGTATATTGGTGATACTGATTGCTATGGTCTTATGCAGCTTGAACTTTCCCTTATCAGAAACCTGTGCGGAGTTGCATGTTGGCTGCCATTGCTTACTTTCTGAAAATACTGGTTACTTGGCTATAAAGGTTATCCATTGGCTTCAGTAGTCACTGATTCAAAACTTATTCGGATCTCCTGCAAACAAGGTCTTTGTTTCACTGCATTTTTAAAGCTGATCAGTGTGGCGGCTATAAAATTTTTCAGAAGAGGTAATTGAGTTTCTCAGCTCAGGTTTATTTTTAAAGGAAGGGGTGGATACCTAATCTTTGCAATTTCTACTATCTGCATATTGCAAGGCACCTCAAATTAAAGGAATAAACCGGCTTTATTTTGGGCAGTGTGGCTTGTTTGTATAACCTTGGAACAATATTGAATAACTGTAGCCTCCTGGCTGAAAGAAAACCCTGGCCCTATATTCCAGCAAGCCCATTCAAGAGCAGTTGGTCCCTAGATCAAGCTGGTCAAATTTCGATCCTCTATGGCCAGTGTTAGTCCTTGTTTTTATTTTCAGTTTCTAGTGAATGGTAGATAGGGGTGTTGCTGTGGACAATGGCTATCTGTATCTGTCTTGGGTAGTTGTCTGGTGTCTTTCTGTATCCTCATTTGTGCTGAAGTGCATCATTGTCTGGTAAGTACTGTTGGAAGCCAATCCTATGAGGTGTGCTGTGTAAGAGTTAAAAGAGCAAAAGCATATCTAAATGGAGTGCTAACTCTTGGTGTTTGTTTTGCTTAGTGTATTCTCCTGACTCCATTACTTTGGTCTGAAATTTTCCTACACCGCCTGTCCCAAAAACCAAATACAAAATGACACATTCTAACCATTTCCTGTTAACCAAAACTTGAAAATGCCTTTTCCCCTATACATACTTTAACACTGCGCAAAGTCTTTAGCCCCTCCCTTTTTTCCCATGTGACAATGGAACTTGGTTATGTCTTTTGAAAATGTGTATTATGTACCTACCTCTCTCATCATAAGCTCCTGCATGGGAAGCTTTGGTGCCTTTTTTAATTAACTGAATAAAAATGATTGAAGCCCAAATTTTTTTTTTTTTTCCCCCAAAATTTTTGGTCTTTTGCATTTTGTGATGCCTATCAGTGCAGTCTATTAGTACCTATTGGTGCCAATCATTTTTGCCCATCAGGGATGCCTCTGTCCATCAATACTACCTGTTGGTGCCCATCAGGGATGCCTCATCAGCACACATCAGTGAAAGAAAGGAAAAATGTAGCCTGACATTTTTGGTGGTCTTGCATTTGTTTCGCAACAATTTAAAAATCCCAGCTGCGATTAAATACCACCAAAAAGTTCTATGTCTCCAAAAAAAAAAATTATATATATATATATATATATATATATATATATATATATATATATATATAAAAAAAAAATATATATATATATATTTATTTTTTTTTTTTTTTTTTCCCGGGTACAGTGTTGTATGATTGCATATTAGTCATACAAAATGCAGCAGTGCTGAAAATTGGCCTTGGCAGGTAGGGGGAGAGGGTGCCCAGAAGGCTAGTTGTTAAGCCATGTTGTTGACCAAGTACAGGACTACAGCAATCTCCCCTAAATGAATGCAGCACAGGCTGAGAACACAAGATTTCCAATACAATCCAGAGGTATCTTATTTAAATCTGTCAAATGTAAAATGGTTTCAGTGATAAATGGTTTCAGCTGTATGTTTTACAGACCAAAAGTGGACTTTTTTTTTTTTTTTTTTTTTTGTGCCATTTTATATACTGTATTGTTTCTAGGGATGCATTGAAATTTCGGCCACTGAAACATATCTGCCAAAAATAGCCCTATCAGCATTCTGCCAATTATGAAAAATTTAGCCGATACAGGAGACTGTATTGCAGATGTGAGGGGCGGTGGAGAATGGCAGGAGAGGAGCAGTGTGTACAGTGACTGGTTGTCGGTGTCGGTTTTCTACATGTAACTACCTTTCTTCAATATAGCTCACAGAATTGGCTGTCACTTCCCCCCCCCCCCAGCTTCCACAAAGTTTCCTTTTTTAGTTTATTTCCCCCGAGTTAAAAGAAACAATGTTTCGTTTAGCTCTGCGGAGAGTGACGGCTAATTCTGTGAGCTATAGTGAAAAACAGTAATTGCATTTAAAAATCAGCACCGACCTATAGTGACAGCTGTGAGGGAGCTGTATACACTGCTCCTCTCCTGCCCCCTCCTTGCACTCACTGCTCCCCTACAAAGAGGACCTGTCACTCATATGCTATCACAGAGGGGACTATTGGTCCTCTATGTAATAGCAATAAAATCATAAGTGAAAATAAAAATATACATGAAAGTGGAAAAAAATTGGAGCCTCCCCACATATGCAGACGGTTCGGTTTTTGGCCACATGCATTCTGAATTTTCAGTATCGACACCAGAATTTTCATTTCGGTGCACCACTAATTGTTTCTCTGTATAATCACCTGATGGGGTAGGATTATTACAGCAGTTATCTGCAATAATACTGCACATTTTTGGTGTGTGACAAAGGTATCAGATTGCTGGTGGGTGACCCCAGAAGAGCTGATTTTGGGCCACTCTGGGTGAAAGCATTGGACAAAACAGGCAAATATCAAGTGGTTGCAAAACGTTTTCCTGAAAACACGTTAAAATATAGGAATGTGCCACAATATCCAGTTTTTATCCCCTATAAAACCATGTTATTGAGTAACTATATTGACAGTTGGGCTTTCCGCACACACAATTAAAGCCTGGTTCTCCTCTGACCATTGTGCTTTTGCATGCAAGACCTACTTGGCAAAAATTCTGTAAACTTGCTACTGCACTGCATACAGGAATGGATCCCTACTGGGCATTGAACATTTTTGCTTTATGGGTTTTAGGTGTTGAAGCCCACTGTCAGCTGGTGTCAGGGTCTGCAAGGATCTGGATTGTATTGTTGGAATTCACTCAGTTGCCTGACAACTGGCTCCATCTCTCTAGCACTAGTGCTCCAGTGAGCACTGGAGGGGCAGAGCAGTGACAGTCGCTGCTTTCCTCTCCGAGAGCTGAGTAATCCCATGACAGCCGATCACTAAACTCTGTATTCTGTCTTAGAGCCGACATGGGACAGCTACACACTAATGCTGTATTATAGAGGAGAGTATGCTAGTCCAGGGGGAGCACGCAAACATGCAGATTTAAATACACTAACAAATTGAAACCAAACTCCAGTTCTTTAAAAGCAATACACTAATAAGCTAATAAATTTATATATATATATATATATATATATATATATATATATATATATATATATATATATATATATATATATATATATTTTTTTTTTTTTTTTTGGATAAAGGTTTTGCATAAATACATGCTGACCATTGTAAGCACCCCTGCTAGTGTTAAATGGCTTGTCTCATCTCTAACTGATACATTCTGCTGGAGAGCTTTGTTCTTTTGAAAAACAGCCTTACTGCCTGGATCACCAGATGAAAATAGAGCCTAAAAAATTAATGTAGCCATTAGCTCTAAAATGATACGTTGCAAGGTTTGCTTTGGGTTTAATACCACTTTTTATCTAAAGTGAAGGTGTTGTAGCATAGCAAAAACTGAAGCATGCATGTAGCTAGAAGATCTGACTCTTATGCATCCAATTCCTTGCTTGAACACTTTTATTTGTCAGATCTACAAATGACAGAAATGGTGTGCTATGAATAGTTTTTATAGATCAGGATTGGTTTCATGATCCCCCAAGGAACCTGTCAGGTCATGTCATTGCTGGGCAGCTTGAATGTTCCCTCCTGTTATTGTGACAATGGAGAAAATGCATTTTCCATTGCATGTTACTGTAAAAGTGTAACTAGTGGGTTTTTTTTGTTGCTTAGGACTCCAGCCCATTGCGTTCAAGTAGAGACTGGGTTTCCAGAGAGAGGGATAGCACTGAACCATCTTGGAAGACTCCTTCATCCAGCTATCAGCGCTGCTCAGGGACATATGATCGCCCAGTATCTGGGAGCTTCTTGGGAAACCGAAGCAGAGTTGTAAGTAGCTTTAATTTTAGATATGCATTTCATTATACACGGCCTAGAAGAAAAAAATGTATAAAATGTCCTTGCATGTGTGTAAGTGGCTAATTGCCATCAAAAGTACAAACCTACATAACGCCATGCAACGTACCCATGTGTCGCCCAGCTTTGGTTATATACCAGGATGCCTGCAGCTGCATCCTGGTAAATTTTTTTTTTTTTTCTCCCGTTCAGCCTGACCATAGAGCTGATCGTGCACCAGTACAACCTGACCATCTATATAGTCTAAGAAACCAAAAGCAACTAGTGTTTAGTCATGCTACGGTTGTAAACAAACCATTGCTGGTTTGACAAAAGCTCCGGATCACAACGAACTTGGTTTGATCTGATACATTTAAGGGCAGAGGAGAATAGATTCCAGATCTCTTGGTAGAGAGGACCTAGTGCAACTCTTCTCCAGCATCTGTGTCCTGAAAACCCAGTAGTGTTATCTTCCATTAAAAAAATTCTTTCTTTCACAAGTGATATACTCCTCTTCCTCCACTTAATACCCTCAAAGAAATATAAATCGCATATAGTGCATAATCTACAACGCATGATATCCAATACACTTACAAAAAAATAGTGCCAATAAGTGAAAAATAACTCCACCATGTGTACACTTCTTCTAACGATCTGTCATCCTTACTCTTACCCTCTTAAATTTTTGAAATGTCCACAAAATCCACCTTCCTTCATGGTTACGCTCCTAAATCCATCCACTTTTGTATGGAAAATGTACCTCCAAAGGGATTGCATATAGTGTCATATCTTCAAAACCGTATTTGTGCTCCCCTCATATCAAAAGAATTTCCCAGTGCTGGTGAACACACTGACCACCACCTCCTATCCCATGCACCTTACCAAATGATAAAGTCCATTCACATAAAAAGTAGGGCTTCTCTCACTTCATCAAGCCTCGATTTCATAATGGACATCATAACGTGTGGCAAAGTACAACCAAAATAGTGTAGTAGGCAATAGGGATATAACTCTAATAAATGCGCTTACAAACAAGGTGTTTCAGCATATGTTTAAATGGCAAACCTGTATGGGAAGAAACCCTATTCAAAATGGCCACTCTGTAACTTTCGGTTTATGTCCATCACATTCTGACACTGTCAATTCCGACTTCATCTGCGGCTCGGATGAAGTCAGAAGTGATGAAACATGTCAGTACGTGGCAATTTTATATTTCTTTGAGGGTATTAAGTGGAGGAAGAGGAGTTATCACTTGTGAAAATAATTTTTTAATGAAAGCTATCAACACTACTGGGTTTTCAGGACACAGACTCTGACTAAGAGTTGGACTTTCGGGGAAGAGAGTATATGGCGTCTGGGGTTTGTTATATTATTTATTGTGTTGGCACTTAGTAGCATACCAATACATCTATTTAGTTGGTAGAGAGGATCTGTCATTGCCTATTGCTATCACAAGTTATGTTTACAATCCTTGTGATAACAGTGATCCAAAACAATTACATGTACAGTGTAAAAGTAACAAAAGACCAATTTTTTACTTTTTTAAAGAATTGGTTGGGGTGAAGACAGCGCTGGATCCCTGGTCTGGGAAGTGTAGAAGTCTGCAGCTACAGTATTTGTAGCTGCTGCCTTCATTTCGCTACAAGTCTTTTAAACACAATACAGATTAAGCGAAGGACTAATTTATTTGGTTATTGGTGGCATATATGATCTGTGCCTCTCCAGATTTAACAATGTTCAGTGCTTCAGGTGCTGATGTTTCCTAATTTCTATCCTCTACAGTCGACTGCAACATCACAGCCATCTTGGTATGATCCTTTAGAGAGGTCACAGAGCACTTACAATGGACTGGGCAGCCAACAAGACTGGGATTCTAAGAGACCTAAACTATCCTATTATGGATGTACCCCTCTTAATGGTGGAAGGACTACTAATTCCAGCTATACCTCCACTCCAGGTATGGGGCTACCCTAAAGGAACTATTCACAACCTCTTTTTCTGCTTTAGTGCATTAAATGCATGCAATGCAACAAACCTGCCACAATAGACTAAGTTGGTCAAAATTAAAGCTGAGAATAATCATAGATGCTCAGAGAACCTGAGGTGCACTTTTTTTGATTACAGGTTCATGTTTGAAAATAAACAATTGTGTACTGCATATTGATTGCCTCACTGAATATACTGTTTAATCCTAGCCAGCTATATAATGGTCAGCTAGTCCTATTGGTGAGGTCTGTAGTAGTATTTGGACTGCAACACAAGTCACATCCTTTGTAACATATTAATGTGTATGTATGTGATCTATGCTAGTACTCTTCTCCAGTGCTGTCTCCCACACACCACTCTGTTGGTGCCATTTCTCTTCCAAATTTATCCATAGAATGTGTGTACAGTGTCTTCAATGGATACTTATCAGAAAAGCTAGAATATCAGCTGTGATCTAAAATGTTTACTTCCTATTCTCCTTTCTGCAGGTTTGTGGTAAAATTTATTGCAGACATGGCAAATCTCAAGGGGCACATGTAGTGCAAAACAAATTGCACCTTCTGGATTTAATAGAAACTTTAGATCCCAGGCTTCTCTAGTAAGACTGGTGTCTAAAGTTAGCCTTGAGAGTTCCTGAATTCTGCATAAATTTACTCTTCTGCTGAAGTGTCCAGGACAGGATTTATGTACACATCCCCAGATATAGGTAGAGAAGTGATATGGGTTATATTTGCACACCAGATCCTTATAATAGGTCACAGAAGAACAGCTTGTTCAGTGTTTGTACCGTCTTGAGTTTCTTGGTTGTAGTGAAAAATATCCAGCTGTTTCAGAACTACCAATTACAGCTTGTCCTGTAAAGATAGTGTATAAAGCCTGTCGGGTGAACTAGTTGGTTGCAGTAACAAAAAATGATTTCCTGTTTTGTTTGTTTGTGTGTGTTTTTTGTTTGTGTTTTTTTTTTTTTTTTTTTTTTTTTTCCCCAAAATAATCCATACACCTCAATACTTAATGGCCCTGTAATCTTATTCGTTTTTTACTGTGTTTTGCCTCCTTGTAATGTCCTCCATGAGCTCCTGAACCCTCCCTCGACCCCCCCTTTCCCCCCCCCCCCCCCCCCCCCCCCCCCCCCCCCCTTCATATTGTATGTGTTTGGAATAAGTAGCCCACCCCACCTTAGTTGCAGTTCCATGCACCACCCTAGGCACACTATAAATTCCATAGTTCAAGTCTATCTTTTGAGCAAGCCAGAGGGTGGATACATCACTATATGCAGAGAGACCATGAAACATGAACATTGCCGCCCTCTTACCAGGAAATTTTATCACAACAGCCTAAAAGTTTTTTTTGTAGGAGGCAAAGAGCAATAGAACGTGCTATTGAGTTAAGGATACATACTGGAGAAAATCTTGGGTTTTGTCTGATTTGCTAATGATTAACTTTGGTAACATGTGACACCAGAAAAGGGGAGTCTGAAAAAAAAAAACTAATATATTGCAGCCTATCTATCCACTGTTTGACAGCATTTAAAGTTGTTCTTGGATCCCCTTTAAGATGGAAAACATAAATGCATAGGAAACCAAACACTAATTAATTATAAATGTGCATGCTTCATCTCCTCAAAGGCCATGTATTTTGGAGTGTCAAAAGGTGCTTGTGGTGGTTTATTGCAGTTATTGGCTCTTTAAAATATACTTAATGCCTCATGCTGTCTTCTAAGGTTGCTGCATATTTTGTAAGGTGTTGCTTGATGTATCCATGATTGACCAATTCTCATCCTTGTCCAGACTCATCAAGCAGGTATGGGCGCTTTCCTAGGACGTCATCAATGATGTTTCAGTCTGATTTATCAAGGGAGCGTGATCGTGACAGAAGATCAGACACCTCTATACATGAGCTTGGTGATTATGGGCATAGAAATGGTGAAATCACTTCATCATGTGAGTGAATTGGGTTGTGCAGTTACAAAGATAGTTGACAGTATTGAATTTGTATAGCTTATGTTGAACCTAGTTGAAGACCTGAATGAACTTCATTTTAATCTGCTTTTAGCCCTATGGCAAAATGTTTGTTTTTGATTGAGCAGACTTGTTTCACTACAGAAATGGGTGAAGTGGGAAGGGCCTTTTTGACATGATCTAACTATATAGAGCACACATTGATTACTTTTTTTTTTTTTTTTTTTTTTTTTTTTTTAAATCTGGTGTTCTTTATGATCAGTTTATCAACTTTCCTTTAAACATGGAAGCTTTCTTGTTCTCTGTATGCAGACACTAAGTTGTAAATTGTATCTACAGGCCAAAACAAACATAATTTTTTATTTCATTCATTAATAGATCCAGCTGTGCTTCAGATCACCTATTTGGTACAGCGATATCTGCAGTGGCAGCCTTTTGCTGATGTCTTAACCCTCACGCTGTGGAACAAGCTCGGTCATTAGTGTTTAGGCGTTGTGGCTTGGACATTTTCCTCCTGGAAACCCTAGTTCCTCTGATCCTGGATTCAAACAAGTTGCTGGCAGGGTGAAAGGCTGTCAGCTATAGATCCTGGTGGTCTCCCTAGTTACAGAAATTGAGCATATGGTGTTTCTTGCTGGTTTGTGACAGCCCTGGTAAAGGCAACATTGTGTTTCTTCCACTTTATGGGCTGCACTGTTAATCGGGGTATTAATAATCAGCGTAGATGTCTTTTCACACTTGTCAGTTATCAGCAGTACTGTGACAACGTAAGGAAAGCACAGTGCTCGGTCCTGGGAGGAGGTCATGTGACACCCTCCCAGAAATAGACAACCGTACTGTAGCCATCATTCAGCTATAGTGCGGTCAGTAAGTGGGTTAACAGTAACTTTCAATCCGTTCTGGAAAATGCCAGCCTGTATAGCTTGGGAGTAGTGTTGGATCTCTGGTTTGCATAATGCTCTTGGAGCCAGGAGAAGCTTCTGCTTTGGTGGGGCACCAGTGTGGGTGCAGTCAGACAACTCCACGGAGTATATAAATTATTGGCAGGGGTGTAGACACCCAAGAAGTTTCTTGTATTCGGAGTTGGGTGGAAAATTGTCTGCCAGTTCTGCCTGCAGTACCACATACCAGGAGTGGAAAACTGCTAAAGCAGACTCATTGGAAAGGTCTGTATCAAGGAGAATGGGGAGGCTTCCAATAATTCTGCCTTGCATGGCAAATGCCAGATATTGATCTTTTGGCCTTGCACCTCAGAAATTGACTTATTTTATTTGGGGGATGCTAGACTGATTCATGCTTACCCACCAGTACTACACCAGATAGTCAAGGGGATTCCAGTGATCCTTAGTGGCTCTGGGTTTGCTCCGAAGTCACAGTACTTGAATCTTCTGGTATTGATGCTCCTTGCTGTCTACAACTTAAAGGCTCCATGTACACGAGCCTACCCTGACCTCCGGCCGCAGGAAAAATGCAAAACTCGGCAACCGCAGTTTTGCTGCATTGTTGCTGTGTGGGGGTCCCCCCAGCCCCCCCGCGTGGTTGACTGTCAACGCTTTTATCCTGAACGCGATTCTTCTGCGTTCAGGATAAGAGAAGCGTAACTTCACCTAAGCGCAGCAGTTCCTAAACTCTGCTAAAAGCCTATATGTACATTGGCACATAGGCTTTTTTGGAGTTGCGTTTTAGGAGCTTTTTGGCTTTTTTTGCCAAAGCACCTAAACTTGAGTTTTTATGAGCTGCTCTTGTACATGAAGCCTAAGACCTGTTGTCTCAAGGATCTGTTTACCACACCATTCAGCTGCTGCCTTAGCACTTGGTGTTTCAAAAACCAAGCTGTAGAGGGACAGGGCATTATCAGACTAACAACAAGCTCAAGGCCACATCTCATATTGTACCTGGAATACTTGTTTTGTATGATGCGATTTCTCCAGCACATGGTGGAGCAACAGTTGGCCTAAGCACAATTGAGCATAAATTGTCAGCATCTTTTGGTGTTGCTGCCACTTTTCGGCTTTATTCACAATTACGCAATCTGCCCCTCCAGTCAGGCGAGAAGAGATGAAAAGGCGCTTCTAAGTGCAGTGGGTCCAATGAGTTTTACTAGGAACGGTTAACACTTAAAAAATTGAAGAATAAACTGGCTCATCAACAGTACATCTTTGTGCGGGACTCTTATTTGGTAGCAGCCCACTGTGCCAGTCAGCAGCTGCAGGGGATACTTAGGATGTGGTGCCAAGATGACTGCTGCTCTTCCAGGAACGCAGGACTGCAAGCTGTCCAGGTGGGGTGCAAATCGGACGTGACGTTGGCATGTGATGGTTACGCATTTCAGAGCATGCGTAGAACTGCTCCTTCATGACCCTATGACTATTAACGTATTGGACCCCCTATAATAGTACAGGAAATGAGTGCTAGATCTGTATTTACAAAGTAGCTAGCATGAAAAGGTAATACCTCAAAACCTATGTAAAAAAAATATGAAAAATAACATGCAGCGCTAAGATGAAAATAATACACCTGAATACATGAGAATGCAATAAAGTATATAAGATCTTATAAATGAGAGTAGTTCATTAATTCAATGCTTCATAGATAAATTGGTGATAAACAGTGACAGTCTGTGTCTGACGGAAGACAATAATCGTGACACTGGTAAGTGAGAGAGTTGCACTAACCAGATAGCGCTATATTATGTGAATGATGAAATCATCTGGATATGGACATCTGGACCCGGGTTTTCTGACGGGCAGCGACAGGAATCACAGCATGTCAGCCAGGCTTCTGAATGACCGACTTCTGATCAAAGACCACCAGAGGGAGCCAACAACCAGGATGTCATCAAACCTTTAAACCAGGTATCCAAAAGAGTGTAGTATGCTCAGAAAGGACCACCAGAGGAAGACTGCGCCTTGAAATGCATCTGACGATTCCCTTAGAGGACAGGCTCAAAAAGAAATGAGCCCAAGCACAAAAGGAGTATCTTGGTGCAACACTGTTTTAATAGGTGCAAAGTATTAACAAGAATGTAACTCGCATGTAAAAGTGCAAGTGGCCTGATGGCTACCCTCAGTGACCTTTCTACCATGTGGACTTCATTTTTGGCCATCGGGCCACTTGCACTTTTACATGTGAGTTTTATTGCATTCTCATGTATTCACGTATTGGACCCCCTGCACTTCCTTTTTTTTTTTTTTTTTTTTTTTTTTTTTTTTTCCCCTCTGCTTTTCTCATCCCAGAGTCTGCTTCATACTTAGAAGTGCTGCCCAGTACATGTCTCCATTCACCACATAAACCAGCTGTCACCTCCCTATCCATCTTCTCCATGACAGCACTCTCCCTCCAGTTAGGCAACTGTTGGATCAGCAGCTATAGCAGGCTAAGGTCCCTTGATGCAAGTACCTCCTTTTGATGGGTGGGAGGAGGGAATCAAGTGCCAATGCACTCAAAGTGGAATTCTAGTGGTTGTTCAAGTCAGTCTGTGCTTATGCCACCCCTGGGCTGTGTGGTGGTTTTATTGTCTTTTAGGGGTTCATGTTTATTTAATAAAAAAAAAAAAAGCTTTCAGTCGGTACAAACAAGATTGTGTATACAGCACTCTGTAGTTTGGTTGAATGGGGGAGATGCATATGAGCAGTATACAGCAGGGATAAAATATATGAGCAAGAGCGATTTTTCACCATTAAGTAGGTTTTATTTAATAATTTTGTAATAGTCTAACCTTCTATTTTATATAGCAGGTTCATGAATATATACTGATTGATCTAAAGAGCCTAAGTCGAAGTTAACATTGCTTATGGTCAAGGGTAGTGAATTGGGCTGAAATGCATGGAGAAAGTCTGCCAAAATATTGAGCAGCCTACACCGTGGCAGCGAGAGAAAAGGGGGGGGACGGGGACCTCCAAAATTGTAATTCAGTGTCAGAAAAAGGAATGAGGAGCCTGACTATAGTCTTTGGCATGCCACAGCTGCCACACTTTATCTAAGGTGTCATTGAGCCATGCAGTCAATGCTAACATGAGTTTTTTTACATCCTTAATCCTGGGTTGTTGTGTGTGGGTTTTTTTTTTTTTTTTTGCTCCTTTTTCCATTGGTATGTGGTTTTGTTTGTGGTTCTTCCCACCCCAAATCTTTTCATTCCAAGCCTTTTACCTGGAAATCTTTCTAATTCCACACTTCTGTCATAGGGGTTATGCTCACTCCATCGCTTTGTCCATTTTTAAAGAACTGTGGTTGTCACCCAAGCTGAACTTCTTGCATGCCTTTACTTCCATTACATGGAGTGGGGTTGTGTTCCCAAACACCCTCTCTCCAAAAACAGGTTTATTCTCTTCTTGCTGAAAATGTTGGCCTGGGAAACATATCTGTACAGGACTTAAACTCTAAACTTACAGTAGATCAAGGAGACTGAACATGTTTTAAAAGAACATGAACTTTTGTTTATGTATTTTTTACTTTATGAAACCAAACTGAAGTTATCTTGCCTGTATTTTTGCTGCAGATCTTCAGGACAGAGTTTCTTCATATGCACAAGGCGCTAGACCAAAAGACAACTCTCTAAGCACAGTCCGACTCAACACATCAGTCAGCCGCCAGTTGCCTTCACAGAGCCCTTCATTTTCTAGAGATTCAAGCAGGAGTTCAAGAACAGCAACTTACAGAGACCTACGCTCTCCACAGAGGGATATTTCCTCTGAGGTTCATCACTCCGCAAGCCGAAGTGAGAGAACGTCACGGAGTACTTCAGGAAGAATCTCGCCTTCATCACAGACACCAAGAAGTGACCAAACTACAGATGGCGATGGCAGGCGTACAACAAGGCATCTCCTGTCTCGCCTTGCATCTAGCATGTCTTCCACCTTCTTCTCTAGGAGGTCCAGCCAGGATTCTTCAAGTGGAAGGTCACAAGATGCAGAAGAAACACATTCAAGTTTACATAGTGTCACTCCGGAACCCAGTCCTACCATCCCTGCCAACAGTGAAGCATTAGAAAACAGGCCTTCTGAACAATCTCAGGGATTTGCATTTCTTAGGAGGAGGAGATGGGGCCTATCATCAGTGTCTCCAAATCAGAGTTCAGATTCTGATGCTGAAAGCTACAGGTCAGAAGATTCTGAAACAAGGACTTCAGGATCATGGCTGCCTTCTTCCTTCAGGAATAGATGCACGCCACTGTTCTCCAGAAGGAGACGGGAAGGAAGAGATGAGACTGCCAGAGCTTCTTCTACCTCTGAAACCAGTAGGATCCACAATCCTTTTAGAAGGGCATCACAAGAAGATTCTTCATTAGGCGAAGCACAAAGCACCCTTCAAGGGGCTGCTGCTACTAGGAGTTCTCCCCTGTCGTCAGACTCTCCTAGCAGCAGTTCAGCTGCTGCCACTATAGCAGAGACGCTCTTCAGCAGAAGAAATTCAGGAATTTCAAGCATGCTTCCGAGCTCTCTCTTACACTTCTCCGTGCCAGCTGCACTAGGAAGTTCCCTATCGGACAATGTCATGATAACTGTAGATATTGTTCCCTCAGGTAGAACAAGTGATGGACAAGAGAGTGAAAAGTCTCAAGACTCCTCAAGGGATCCTGAGAAGCTGAAGAAAATTAAAGAGAGGTAATTGTTATCTAAAGTGTGTGGTGGGTTTTTTTTTTTTTTTTTCTTAAATATTTGCATTTGTTCATTGGGAAGAATGGTGTAGCAGTGATGGAAAAGTAGAAATCAGTTTTTGTTCAGATTAAAAACCAAACGCTCCCGCTACTGTCTCGGCCAATGAGGAGGGAGTCCCCAAAGAACAGAGGCTTTCGTGCACATCACTGGATCGGGAAGGGGCCCAGGTAAGTATTAGGGGGGCTGCTGCACACAAGGTTTCTACCCTCATGCATAGAATGCACGAAGGTAAAAACTTTGAGCCTTTACAACCACTTAACGGCATTTTAACCCCGTTCTGAGGGGATATGTCAGAACAGAACTTTAAGAATTGCCCTCCTGACTATGCTGTGTAAATGGAATAGCGTTTGATCAGTGGCCAACAGCCACTGATTGCAGTTTCTTAAAAATGTAACTGCTCTGCCACCCACACTTTTCTTGCTGTGCACCCGCAATCTAGGTTCCCTAATTCCTTTCTGATCCCTGCTGATGCTCACATTGTTCTTGCTATGTGCCCACACACTAGGTTCCACCTTCGTGTCCAGGTCTTCTACTCTGCCTTATGACCTTTACTTATAACAATAAACACTAGTATGAAAATTGTGGCTATGTAAACTGAAATGGGTGACTGACCTAGTTTTATGTATTAACATGCTATGGTTTTTTTTTTTTTTTCTAACATTTTCAGCCTCCTGCTAGAGGACTCGGAGGAAGAGGAAGGTGACTTATGCAGAATATGTCAGACTGGAGCATCCAGTCCAAGTAATCCCTTTATTGAGCCATGCAAGTGTTCTGGCAGCTTGCAGTATGTTCACCAGGACTGTATGAAAAAATGGCTGCATGCCAAGATCAACTCTGGTATGTGAAGCTTGCCTCTTTTGTGTCTCAATATTTATATGCAAATGATCCTTTATTAAAACCGATACTTTGAGTAGTTATTGGTGTTCTATTGCTTTCAGGTTCTAGTTTGGAAACCATAACTACATGTGAATTGTGTAAAGAGAAGTTGGATCTGAACTTGGAAGATTTTGACATTCAAGAGCTTTACCAGGCACATGCAAATGAGAGGGTGAATATACTTCCACTCAACACTTAGGGCTCAGACACATTGTCAAGTGCAGCCTTTTTTCCTTTCAAAGAGTGCTCCTCACATGTAGGCATTTTGAATGCCCAAGGCAGCATATACCCATGTAGTGCTGTGGGAGGGGACCCAGCAGGCCCACCAAATACAGGCAGCCCACAAAATACTAAAGGACCACTCCATCCCCTACAGCTATCTCCTCCTGTGCCACCATCCCCTCCCTCCTAGATTGTAAGCTTGAAAGAGCAGGGCCCTCGATCCCCTCATGGTTTGCATTGTATTGGTATTCTGTCACATGTTCTGTCCCCCTCTGTAATGTACAGCGCTGAGCGAACTATTGGCGCTTTATAAATACTGTATAATAATAAAAGGAGGGGGCAGATAGACCAGTAAGTCTGCATAAGGAGAAAGCGGCAGTGAGTGGTCCTTTTTTTATTACAGGAACATCTGCTCAGAGGCAACTATTTAATGCTAGATTGCACAGTTTTTGGGGAAAAAAAATACATAAAGTAAACCATTTATTCAAGTAAAAATGTGCAGGTCTCGTGTTTTAGACAAAATTTTGCTTATCCCAGAGTTCAGCTTTTAGGATCATGATGGAAACTGCCTGTAAAATGCAAGGCCATTCTTTTGGATCCCTGTAACACTAATGTCCCTGGCAACTGTTCTCTAGGGATAAGATGCTAAAGAGCACTCACCTGCTCTTAGGGGAGTCTCTCCCTTCCCAGTCTGACTGTAGAATCGTACTAGCCATTTGGACTAATGGTACAGTACATCACAGCAAGGAAAGACACCATAGTAGATTAATGTCCCCTCTTGGCAATCTGATGACTGGCAAGTTGCTGATGGGAACAGAATCAAGTGACATGGCCCTAAATGTTGTAAAGTGGTAAGGAAAATGCATACTTTTCTTTTCCATAAAGCCATTCAGAGTGACTTTGTTTTGCTTCTCCTTTTTTGTTTTTTTTTCCTTTATTGCAGGCTGAATATGAATTCATAAGCTCCGGACTGTATCTGGTTGTCTTACTGCACTTGTGTGAACAGCGCTTCTCCGACATGCTGGGGGCAGCTAATGAAGCAAACACTCGGGTTAGAGTGAGTTCATCCACTAATACCGTAATCTGTTGGATGACTTATCAGGCTATGTTTATATCTAAGACAATTCTGACATTTCTCATGTGTAAAAAATCTGCTTTGGTTTGCTAGAAAATTACTTTGACATGGTTTATCAAACGCAAAGTAAATAGATGCCTAACATGCCATGCCTTAAAATTCCACACCTGTCAAATGTTGACAACTATGGTACATTAAATTATCCATAGGAGATGCTTTACTTGTTACCAATTTAACCATTTGCCTACCGGGCACTTTTACCCCCTACCTGCCCAGGCTAATTTTCAGCTTTCAGAGCTATTGCACTTCTAATGACACTTGTGGGGTCATGCAACACTGTACCCAAACAAAATTTTTATCTTTTTTTTTTTTTTTTTTTTTTTTTTTTGATAGATGAAGTTTTTTCTTTTGGTGGTATTTAATCACCACTGGGGTTTTTATTTTGATAAACTAAAATTTTTTTTTTTTTTCAAAATTCAGTCTGTTTTAAAATTTTGTAAAGAAGTAATTTTTTCTCCTTCATTGATGTGCGCTAATGAGGTTGCACTGATGGGCTCTGACTGGCTCTGTTGGGCACTGACAGGTGGCTACACTGATCATCAGGGCACTGATGATCAATGTAGATGTCCCCTCTGAGGAATACAGATTTTACCAGCTTTCCTCTCCTCATGAGCGGTCAGCGAGAGCAGAGGACTGCTGATAACCGGCATTTCATATTTACATGTGATCAGCTGTGATTGGACTCAGCTGATCACACGACCGAGCAGATATCATCGGCCTTTTACAGTGATCAGTGATGCTCTGTGTCCCAGGGACACGGCGCACCAACGTTTGCCATACGCCTTCGAGGGCACACATGTGCAGTTAGAGTGGGACGTCGTATGACGTCCTCCCAGAACGAGAGAACTGCCACCTGTCCGTCATTTCCTTTTTATATGGCCGACAGGAGGTGGTTAAACGGGACGTCTGGCACTAGAATTCTTGCTCTGTTTGCGACGATACCTCACGTGTGGTGGTATCAGTTTACAAATGGGTGTGGGACCGATGCGTTCAAGTGTGTGTGTTTGTTTTTCCTCCAAGTCAGGGGTCCTCAGTATTGGTGTTTCCTCCAGCCAGGACTGACACTACCCCCGTTTGTTATTTTGCACAGGCTGTCTGGGGTACAGAGGCCTCCTGGATGAGGCCATCCTTCACTAAGCAAGGCAGGGGCCTTGTGGGCTGACTTCATTAAGGGCTCCTTTGGCATTCCTTCTGAGGAAAGGGCAGAATTTGGGGGAGACGGCACCCCTTGTACCTAAAATGGTCCAGGACAGGCTCACCAGTAGGATCGATGCAGCTGGGGGGCGATGACATCACGTCTGGAGCAGGCAGGGAGCCGAAGGGAGCGGCGTTTCCAGGAACGCCGGACATGCATTGACGTCAGGATCGACTCAATTTTGGACCTGTGGGGCGAGCTTGTGGACTGCCCAATGTGGCCTTCTCCTGGATACACTACGGCCGTGAGGGGAGGTCAGTGCGACTGGATCCAGGGTTTGGGCGGGGCCCCGTTACCCTACAAACAGAGCTGCTGCTGAGGGCGGAAAGGTGGCCAGGATGGAGGCAGATCTGTTAGACCTGAGGGAGGTGACATCAAGTTAGGAGCTGGGTGGCTGGCAGGGCTTTTTTTTTTTTTTTTTTTTTTTTTTTTGTTATGCAGCTCTGTGGTTATGTATGCATATGCTGTTTCTTGGTAGGGGGTCTACTTTCTTTTGCACCCCAAGGTCTTTTTCCAGGTGGCACTCCCGGGGGGTGGCTTCTTAGTGGAAGCCCTTGGCTTGCAGGGGGCGTATATTCTTGCTCTCCCTGTTCTTAGATGGGCTCAGAGGAGCAAAGTAAGGAGGAGACTCCATGTGAGTTAAAGAAATTTGCAACTTGCAAGAAGATTTTTCTAGTTCTTGCAGAAAGCAACCATACCAGGAATGTATTGACAAGCTAGTTAGAAAAGAATCTGGGTCCCTCTTTAAAGATTTCCTACAATTCATGACAAAGGAAATGTCCAAAACCTTTCAGAATTTTAGGGGGAAAATGCAAGAGCTGTCTCCGTATGAGCTTCAACCCAGCACCTCTGGTATCTCTGCCGGCCAAGAAGAAAACGAGACCGGAGTATCTTTATGGCTCAGGAAGAATTTTCCAGCGCTTCAGACTCTGAGGAATTGAACAAGATCACAAGTTGCGAAGATACGGAAGGTCTCTTAAAAGTAATTTGACACTCTGGACCTGGAAGAACAGCTGGATCTCTCAATGCATGACCAGCTATACACAGGGCTAAAAAAAGTCTGCACATTTCCGGTCATATTCCACACTATGGACTACCATAAAGACAGAATGGGAAGAGCCAGAGGAACGCTTTAATGGAAAATAGCCTTTAAAAGATTTTTATAAAGAGGAAGATGCATCAGTATAGGAATCCTGCCCAAAACTGGATGCTCCTCTTTCAAAAATTTCAAGAAGCATGGATTTGTCATATGAAGATGGGGACTTAATGGACTGTAAAGTCGACGCGTTCCTCAGAGTGTGGGAAGCATCCACAGTAAACTTTAAAGCAGCGGTAGCAACAACCTGTTTCCCACACCCTGGACGTATGGTCAGGCCAGCTATGTTTTCTCACCTGGAACAAGGTATGCCAGAAGATTAAATTATCAAATCCTTACTGGTTTTGGAAGAGGCAGTGGCCTCCATTGAGGATGCATCAGTTTAAACTATTAAATATACAGCAAAATCAGCCAAATTGCTCTTCTTGCTGAATTTGAGCGCAGTTGAAGTCTTGGCAGGGGGACATTGGTTGCAGACTGTGGCCTGCCCTTTGAGCCAAAGAGCTTTCCCTCAGAGTTGACTTCAGTCCTCTATCTGCCCCCTTTTTAAAAAAAAAAAAAAAAAAAAAGCAAAAAAAGTCTTCGTCCCAACAGGCAGCGCTCACCTAAAGAGGCTAAATTCCAAGGTCAGAAGAGAGGCTGGTTTGCAAAGAAAGGGAAGGAAAAAGGAGGATTTCTCTTCAGCCCCAACCAGGATAAACCCAATTCAAATGCGAGGAAGCCTGGAACACTTCCACATGCAATGGCTTCAGACTACCCGGAATGCATTCTATCTAGAAAATTGAATTTTTGCCATTTCTCCACCCCCACCCCCTTTTTTTTTTTTTTTCTTTGCGCGACCTCCCCCGCCAGGTGAGAAGGCAGAAGCACTCGGGAACCTTTTGAAGAAATGCTACAACATAATGTATTTGGTCTCTTGGGGGAAGAAGAGAAGGGGGTTCTATTCCCTGAAGGAAGCAGTCAGGAAAGTACAGAATGATACTCAACCTAAAGTGTCTTCATGCAAAATTGTTTGAATTTTACAAGTTTGTTCAACACCATGAAAAATACTGGGCAGAGAAAGTTGGCGACTCCTGGACAGATCTGCAAGGCCACAACATAGACCTGATCTCTAACGTGCTGAAGCTGGACTAACTGGCAGTGCCTGTCAAACAAGGAACAGGCATTTAGTAGGAAGGTCTTGCAAGCAGCAGTCCCACCCTAATGTATGTATTCCTGTTCAATCCTCTCATTCACTGTATTTCTAGGACAGCTTCACATGAACAGGTAAATAACGGGTTTGTGTGTGTGGTGTGTGTTTTTTTTTTTTTTTTTTTTTTTTTTTTTTTTTTTTTTTTTTTTTTTTTTTTTGGGGTGGGGGGGAATCAACTTTCTTGCTCTTACAAGAGGTGAACAACATCCGTGTGAGAGATCTAGGGTCTCAGACCTCAGAACATCTGCCCTCAAAGCTGTTTGATCAGGTGCTTTACAAGCCGGCAGGCTTGTCGGAGTGTAGGGCTGGTATGTAAGTACCTGCCATTCCTCAGCAGCTGAGGCGATGGGTTGCTGCACTCCCAGGCTTCCCTATCTTGCTGGAGAGCCTGGGGAACAGCAGTGGGTGGGAGGTCGGGGGGACCTTTTTCTTTGCTTCTGTAGAACTGCTTGGATCACTTCTACATGAAAGCCCATTATCAGCTTCAAGTTTTGATACAAGGTCGTGGCTGTAGCCACGATCCCAATATCCCCGCTTTCCAACAAGGATGCATATGTATGGTGGTCGGGATGTGGTTCTCTATTTACAGTTAAAGATTATGTATGGTTTGTCATTAAAATACCATGGCCTCTAAATATCTGCTGTGTAGAGCAGCGATCTGCATTATCCACAGGAGTCAATCGCTTGGCATTCACTTAACCATTACCAAGAGAAATTAAATTGCTGTCCTTTGCAAAGGGCATGGTAGTAAACTGGGCCCTGGCTTAACCACTTGTCAACTATGACAGTTAAACACCCTGGTGGACAAGTGGTTGAAAGTGATCAGGTGGATCTAGAAGCACTAGCTCACTTTTACAGGGCTCTCAAAGGGATGTTCCCCTTCCACACAATCTGCTGGAATAGCTGCATTGAAGGGCAGGGGAGACATTGGAGATTTAATAGAATCAGCATGGTTTTGTTAGATATTACCGTAACTTGGAGTCTAAGTGCAAACAAATTGCCCAGTAGACGTTATTATACTTCGACATCAGATAGTCCTGTGTACATGCAGGCTTTGCATTGCTCCTCTTGGCAACTGTAACTTTACAAGTGTCACCTGCTTGGTTGCAATAAATTTCATTGGCCAGAATAATTTAAACTGCCCATTGAAATGACACTAGGTGATTTAGCACTTGATCGTTAACACATATTCACACGTGACAGGCGTGTTTGTTGTGTGTTTGTTTGTTTTTTTTTTTTTTTTTTTTTTTTAAGACCTGGATGATAATTTTTAAATATTGATAAAGTACACTATAGGAGGCCGCCATATATTTCCTTGTTCCCTGTTGCAAATGAATCAAAACAGTGGTTTGACTTTTGTCTATTTACTTGGTTTTATGGCTCAAACTTATTTTCAGAAGCCGAGATAATCAGTGGCATTCTCCAGGTTTCCGTTTAAAATGGCTCATTCTCTATTCTTTTATTCCTTTCTGTCCTTGTTTACTAGAAAGATAGATCTGTCCTTTTTTTGGGGGTGTGTTTTTTACTTGGTGTTTTTTTCTTTTTTTTTTTTTTTTTTTTTTTTTTCTCTCCCTCTCCTCAGTTTATCAACCTTGCCAGGACCCTGCAAGCACACATGGAAGATCTTGACAGTAAGTATACAGACTTGAAGTATATAGTCTTCTGCATGTGGAAATTTTGTTATATTGAAATTCCATACTTATTTTTAAATGTTAAATTATTTGCTACTACTTTTTACACAAAAAACCTTTTTTTTTTTTTTTTTTTTTTTTTTTTATACTGACCTAGGTGGATGCAGTATCGGTACCCCTCTGCTTCATTCTAGGTGTTCAGTGAGCAGAGAGATGGTGACTGTCTATCACCAGCTCTCTGCATTGCCCCTCCAGCGCTCCGGCTGTGGAGGGGGCAGGAGCAGCTGGCTCTGTCTCTCATTTGGGTGCTGAAAGGCTGAGCCAGCTGCCTGTCAGGCATCTGGGTGTATCATGGCATTAAAGCCAGGACCGGCGGAGTGACGGCTGCCAACAGCAGACTTTGGCCCTTCTCTTCCCGTGGGTCACAGGAGTGCAATAGTTCTGCTCCCTGTGACCCAGGTTCAGCCAGTAGCAGGATAGTTAATTAGGCCCTACTACTTTTTACTAATGTAATCCAGTCCTAGTACCCTGTGCCCAAGAGGTGTTACTATTTCACTCGGATGTCAGCCTTTCCCTGAATTTTACCCCCCTTTTTATTTCCTGTCTGCTTTAAAATAAATTGAGTGCAACTTCACTCAAAGTACTGCTAATACACTCCCTCCCCACCAGCCCCTCTGAGTTGCAGGTTTTTTTGCGGAGGAAAGAGTATTTTAATCAGTACCTGCTCCCACTTCTTTATCTTCACCTAGGCCAGGGTGACTTGCAGGTGACTGACATTCTGCTTCACAAGTCCCTATGAAAGGAATCCTGTATAGAGAAATAGGCTGGATGCCATTGTTGGGCACTCCTGATGCTCTGGCTTCAATATTTTGATCAACATACTTGCTTTGGGTCAGCAAGCTACAGTTGAGGCGTGGTTGGAGGGGGTCAGAGCTATGTAGTGGAGGTTTTTGTAGGAAGAGATCTGTCAACAGAGCTGGGATTCCATGTATGGAGCTAGTCATGGTTGTTGGGCTGCTGGGAACTGTCTGCTTTTGTGAAAAGGTGGCAGGGAGAGCAGAACAAGATAAAAAAAAAATAATGGGATGGTGTCTTTTGGGGACATGATCTGGCTTGGGATGGTTGCAGTGCTGTGGGTACAGATGGGGTCTTTAGAGGGTGTGATCTGGCATGGAGGGATGGGTCTTTGGGCATTTGCTGTGTCAGGAAGAAATGATAGTTGGAGGCAGAATAGCTTGCAAAACAAATCTTAGGTCTTATGCTCAAGAGGAAAGCAAAAACAAAACTAACATAGCTTTTAATGTAATTGTCATACTCCTAATGTGTTAATTCTTTTCAGCCTCAGACGATTCAGAAGATGAACGGGTGTGAAGAAACTGAGCGGTTTTTCTGAAAATGTTACCTCTTCAGAATAGATGACCCACCTGCATATGTGCAGAAATGTGTTTATTTTCCTGAATACTCCAGTGCTTGTGATGCATATCGAATCACTCTGTTGCCCTCTATTCACTTGTTGCACTTGAAGCAATCTATAAATACTGAATCTGCATACAAGAGATTCTGTCATGGGTTACAAGAACCAGTCTGGCCTTTCTTTTTGTAACATTTTAATCTGCCTTTTTTTCTTTTCTTTTCTTTCTTTTTCTTTTGCTTAAAGCGTTGAGTGTTCATTATCTATGTTTTTGTTATTTTTATTTTTTTTTTACATGTTGAACGTAGTGGCATGTGTTCAGCCCATTCTGTCCTATAGTATTGCCTGCACAGCAGAGACGAGCATTTTGTGCCGAACTGCCAAGAGCACAGCATATCAATCGTGGGAAATCTAGTGATATCACAAAATGGCCAAGTCTACCATGGCCTTCTAAAGGGCACTTGTCTATTAAAATGTGTGTTTGTGTTTTTTGGGGTTTTTTTTTCACAGAAGAGGCTGAATATGCTAAAGTTCTTGTTACCCTTCTTGAGGGTTAAAACACCATGCCTTATTGCAGGCTCCTGTTTTATATAATGCCTACCCTCCAGTGTTGACTGTTTAACAAGGGTTTTTGTATAGCTGTCTGACTTTATCTAGGTCTGCCTTGGGACTCTTTTTAAGTAAGGGGCAATATTATCTTGAAGACTTGATGAAAATCATCTTGTCTCTTTCCAGATATATAGCACATTTTTGCAACCAGAAAAAAAACTTCCATACTTCTTAAGTAGAAGCAACAAATTTTAATCACTTGTAATTGCTAAAATTGTAAGACTTATGTAATATTCACTTAAAAACACATTTAATGATTTAATGTTTTAGTTGTACAATGGAAAAATAAAGATGTTGTATCGATTGTGTTTCCAGGATTTTGCCATCTGTTTCATGAGTAGATTTAATTTTATCCAGGAAACATGTGAAATCAATTGAGCTTCCAATGCTATCCAGGAAGCTGTAAGAAAGTACCCTCAATTGATCATTACTTTTTTGTATCACCATTCTTGAACAGCAGAGTGGTGAGCTTGCTGCTACTGCGTGTCAACAGTTGTTAGTGGGCAGTGTACCCATTAACAACTTGGTTTACAAATAGTACAGAGCCGTTTGGTCCTCATACAGATCAGTGTACATAGGGGATCCAATCGGTGTAATGTCTACATTGGAGAACCTGCCCCTTCCAGTTACAACAAAGTGTGAGCATAGCTATCTCTGGCAGCAGGGGTAGGAGTTCTTGCACCCGCCAAGTAATGGTGTTTTACCTGACTCCTCTGCCCGACTGTGTCGCTGCACTAAGATCTGGAGACAGGGGGTCCTGTGTGGTTGGTGGATCTGGGGACCAGGAGAGGTGATTTTGAGGCTCCTGCCTGTCGCAAGGACCCAGCACAGCCTGGTCATGTGGGTCTCCTTCCACAGTTTCTGGGAGGGGAGGGAGGATGGGAAAGGAGGGAATGTCTTCTAGTTGGTCAGGGGGGGAGAAGGGAGAAAAGGGAAGGTCCTTTTACTTCAGAACATCATCTACCACTGCCCCTACAAAGAACACAGAGGAAAATAGTTAAAATATTAAAACTAAAATTCTTGTTTCAAGAATATTTGTTTGATTTTCTAATCGTTAGTGGGGTTAAATTGATTGTTTTCGACAGCAGTGACCAGAAAATTTGAAGGGGCAGGAAATAAAATTTCCTTATCTCGATCAAACAAATTTTTGGCCAGTGTAAGTGGTTATTGTTCAAAAATTGTCTCTTGCTTTTAACATTCGATTTTTAAAATGAATGTAATTTCTGAACGACATTCATCAAATGTGCAAAGCATTTTCGTACGACTTTTCTTACGAATGTTCTCAGCTGAAAACCGACACGTGTATGGCCAGCTTAAGGGTATAGTCCAACTGTAACAGGTGTCCTCAGTTTCTCTTGGAATCTGTGTCCTAGAGTCCTTCCTATCTTTGACTTCTTCCCTATTCCTTTCTTGAATGCATGGAGGTTCTTACTATAGTCATGCATGACTTGAGGCACAAATTCCTCAGTTGTTTGAGCTCTGTGGTCACTCAAACACATACTCCTGTACTTCACCCTCCAGATTCTGTCTCTGAGCCATCACTGGACTCTTGTCTGGTTTTGAATCACTCCAGTCCTTACTGGATGAGCTTGCCTCTGAGGAATCGCAGTCTTCTGTTATTACACCCAAACTAAGACTTTTTTCAGCTCCTATTGTGGTGAGCACCGGTCTTTAAACTTGAGCATTAGCCAGTTACCTTTTTAATAGAGCTGCCCCCAGCCCCGGATCCTATACAGCCTCCAGGACTGCCGTGTGGGATAATAGGAATTGTGCCTTGGGGATGTGGTAAGAATTCCAAAGAAAATAATGCAGCAAAAGATGTCGTGCAACCCATAAACCTTCACTATAAAATAATAAAGTTCAAAAAATAAAGTTTAAAGTAGTACGATCTTCCACACAGTTATCCATGTGTACTAACAAATTATCCATGTGTCCCCTTATCTCCGTGCACCAATGTCTTCTATAACAGATAATCAGTGCTGCTCGTGCATACACCTCTCATGAACAATATATGCTCACCTCCAGACTAGACCATGATGGCTCCTCAAGGGTCACATGCGCTTGTACCCCCCCCCCCCCCCCCCCCCCCTCTTCACAGGTTCAATGTTCTACGGATCCTCCACTCGCATAAGAAGCATTATTTCATTCATGAAAGAATAGGGACTAATAGTGCTCTCTATGTAGTAAAAACGTTCAATATTTAAAATGACACAAGTCTGCCTGTCTTTGATATGTGCTGTACATAGCACTGTATATGCACTGACTTGTCATTTTAAATATTGAATAAATGTTTTGTGTACAGAGCACGATCAGTCCCTATTCTTTCATGAATGAAATGATGCTTCTTATGTGAGTGGAGGATTTGTGGAACAGTTGGGAGCCTTCATTCTGGCAGGGTCCAAATATGGCCTCCAAAGCAACTACCAAGGACTTGTTGAATAGGATTGCTGCTATGAAGAGTCAAGTTACAAATACAGCTTAATAGAAATGCTTCATAATGCCCAGTACAGGATGCATAAACAAAATACATGCATTGCCTGGTACAAGGAAATAAAAACCATGATAGATGGACTGTGTCCTTCCGAGTTTAGGAAAAATATGCTTGCTTCAGATGAGTATGGTAGTATGGGAGCTTGCATAATGACCACCACTTTGTAATATGAAGAATTACAAAGACAACTGACAGGTAGGGTCTTTATGACAAAACAGACCTCTAGGGTCTCTTCTGTTATAAATGTCCTCCCTGCCTGTCAGACAGTAATGTGACCTGAACTGCCCATGTGCAGCTCAGACTATATTTACAGCCCGCTGTGACATATGCATGCCCGGAGTGACATCACCACAGCCCAGTCATTCAAACAGTTAAAGATCCGAAACCCAGAAGGAAGACCGGCGGAGATGTAAGCGCCGGGGACCAGGGAGAGCCATGACAGCACAGCGCTGGAAGGCTCCATTTGCAGGCAAGTCTGTCATAATGTACCAGTATGCAGAGCATACTAATACATTATGATTTAAACCTGCAGGGGGCCCAGTTTTTTCCTTGCTGACCTGTTTCCTAAAACTGCAGTATATGCTTGGTAATCAATAGCAGCCTCCATCTTTTCATTTCAATGGGTTTCTTTTAACCTATTGATGCTTGCTAATCAATTCTCCCAGGCAACCAACAACTGAATACTGGTGCCCACATAGTCCCCTTCTTTATTCTGGGGGTTCAAAGTGGTAGTAAAGTCCCCTTGTTTACTGTACCTACAGGTAAGCCTTGTTACAGGCTTACCTTGCGGTATAAATAAACATCTCCTAAACATGCACTGTTTAGGAGATACTTACCTTAGTAGCAGCCAGTAATGTCACTAGCACATGCACACTGCGCTGTCAATGGACAGCATGCCGTCCACTGAGAGGTCAATGCTGCAGCCATGACTCCCACATGCTGTGTTTTTTTTTTTTTTTACTATCTATTTAAGCAAGTGATATAGGAATTGTTTGATAGTTTTGAACTAAAGTCTCCAGTGGTGGCCACAAATAACAATATAACTGTATTTATAAATTTTAACTAAATTTGAATTGAAATTCTATATTTTTTTTTATTTGTCTGGAGTAAATAATCATTTCATGGAGTTGAGAACTGTCATTGTTAGTGAGATCTGGTTCACACCCATGCGGTGCAGGAAACAATGCAAATCCTGTGTTTCCCGCACCGCATTGCAATTGCATTCATGTGATCTGATGCAGAAGTCAATGATAAATTGACACCCCCAAACAGATTGCAAAACGTGATACAATTGCCAGAAATCGCATCGTATGGGTGAGAACACCCATGCGATGTGATTCAGGTGTGGATTTAAATAAGGGTCCTGCACCTTGCACCGCACAGACATTTGCACAGGAATGTGGTGCGATTTCCTGTATAAAGTACATGAGATGTACCATACTGTATAGTGTGAACCCAGGCTTAACCTGTGCTTTGTTGATTCAGGGCAAAGTAAAAGGTTCACCTGATAAGCTCCCTTCACTTCTACTTACTTTCCCCTGCTGTTCCATTTGCCCACTGAAATAGCCAGTTCTTCAAGCTATGTGGAACATGCGATCTTTCCTCTTCCTCCATGACAACATTATATGACTGAGTGGCCAATTACAGGGTCTGCGTGTTCTCATGTTGGGGAGGGTCCTTAGCCCTGTGTAAGCTCTAACTGGTCTGATTTGGGGTTGACACAGACTTCTTCAGTAAACAGGGAAGTGTGTGAATGGTAAGTAACAGAAGTAGTGGATAGTGGAATAATTAACTCCTTGATGCTGACCTAACACAAATATGTGGCATCACAGAACTGGGCTTTTTTTTTTGTGGGGCTGC